AGTTGTTTGTTGGATGTTTGTAACTCAGGGATCGCCTGTACTAGGTTTGATGCCACTTGGTGTGGTAGCTCATGGTGTCATCCCGTTCTAGATAATACCACAATATTGTGTGATGTGTTTTATTGCTCTTATTTGGTTGAATGTTTGTACTGCTTAATTTATTGATGTATTTTTATGGCATTGATGTTTGCCTTTTTATGTTGTGAGCTATCCCACCCCATGAAGAGATGGGGTGGGATATAAATAAAGTTTTACTTACTTACTTACAATATTGTAGCCAAAACATTAAAAAGAAAGAAAAAAAAATCAGCACTGACTAAAAAAAAACAATAATCAGGAATTGTAATCAGGCAAGGCACTTTTTGGCAGAAAAGGCTAAAGATCTTGTAAAACGAAAACTCTCCGGATTCCACAGCAAGTAGCCCAGGCAGTTAAAGTGATGACAAACTGCATCCATTCTACAGTGTGTAGGAAGCCAAGGTACTTGAAAACAACAAAAGAAACCGAAAGCTGGACGTCAGGCAGCCGGAGGAGGCTGCTTCTCAGAATCTCAAGCAATGCCAAGAGCCTTTCTGCCAAGAAGGCATCAAATCCTCCATGAGTAAATCCAGGTCACGCATGATGCCTTTCAAAGGAGAAGCCTGGGAAAGAGCTGGGAGACAACTTGCCAGACTGGCAAAGACACTCCAACTGTTTTTCCCCCTTGTTAGTCCTTGTTGCAATTCAGTTTTGAGACTGCAACTAGTCACCCGAAAAGGGCTGCTCGTTCTTTTCCCAAAGTCTGTTTCCAGCTTTTGTGTCTGGGTACATGCACACTGTAGAACCAATGTAGTTTGACACCATTTTCACTGCCATGGCTCAATGGTATGGAATCGGGCGAGTTGTAATTTCACAAGGTCTTTAGCCTTCTCTGCTGGTGCCCCACCAAAATACAATTCCCAGGTTTCCAATAATAATTAAAGTGGTGTCGAATTGTACGGTGTAGAGATGTTCCCCCAAACATTTCATGGAGTTGTCTCATGCAAGGAAGACTCAAGAGGTCGTTTTGCCAGTTCCTTCCTCCGAAAGAGAGTAGGTATGGTAGCTATTGACAGTCTCCCACCCAAGTACTAACCAGGGCTAACCCTGCTTAGCTTCCAAGATCAGGCATGACCTGATGCCAGTAAAGTTACTATAAATTGATTAAAAGAACAGCAAGCTATACAGTAATTTAACTTACTTCAGTCCATTAGCTTGAATATATGGGTGTGTGTGTGTGTTAACATACACATAAACACACAGTTTATGATACATTATCCTATAGAAATAATAATAAGTATTATATTATATAATTATATAATTATAATAATAAAAATTTAATAATAATAATAATAATAATAATAATAATAATGTATTACCAGCCTGTCCTGAAGTCTCGAGGTGTGGTACAACAAAGTCAAAAACATATGAACATAAAATACATGCAATGAAAGACATAGATAACAGTAACACTCTGTAACGTGATTTTTGTTCCTGGGTTATAAATGTCATTTCCTAATTGGTTCTATCATAAAAACATGGAAAATATTTACTAAACTGCAAAAACTTTGTTTTCACAGGACATCCTGCAACACATTTGCTATAGTTTTTCAGTGACTATCTCATAGTCTAAACTAATTCCACATAGTTTGCAACAGGTACAAAAAATAAAGTTTCTGGAGTAGAACAACTTTCAAAGTATGGACCGTATAATGAAATGGGAAATAACACTTTCAAACTAGGAACAGAAAACGTTTCAAATTGTCTTACATAGTGTAATTATATAACACATAATAACAAAAACACACCATTATATCTATCTATGTATCTATCTATATGTTGCTGAAGACTTTCATCGCTGGAATCCCTGGGTTTCTGTGAGTTTTCAGGGCTATATGGCCATGTTCCAGAAGCATTCTCTCCTGACGTTTCACCCACATCTATGGCAGGCATCCTCAGGCGTTGTGAGGTCTGTTGGAAACTAGGCAAGTGAGGTTTATATATCTGTAGGATGTCCTGGGTGGGAGAAAAAAGAACTCTTGTCTGTTGGAGGCAAGAGTGAAAGTTGCAATTAGCCAGCTTGATTAGCGCTGAATAGCTTTGCAGCTTCAAAGCCTGGCTGCTTCCTGCCTGGGAGAATGTTACCTGGCCCTGCTTGCTTCTTGTCTGGAATTCCCTGTTTCCTGAGTGCTGTTCTTTCTATCTATCTTTAAAGAAGGGGAACCAGGGTTGGGGATATATATCTATCCATATATAAACACACACACACACACATATTTAGGATAGGTAGATATATATTGTATATGAAGGAAAGAGAGGTGGAGAGAAAGAATCTGGTGCTTTTGGGGTATTATTTAGGGCAGGGGTCCACAAACTTTTTAAACAGAGGGCCAGGTCACAGTCCCGCAAACTGGTTTAGGGCCGGATTAGAATTTTAAAAAACATGAATGAATACCTATACACACTGCAATATCTTATATGTAGTGCAAAAAACCTTAAAAACAATACAATAATTAAAATGAAGAACAATTTTAACAAATATAAACTTATTAGTATTTCAATGGGAAGTGTGGGCCTGCTTTTGGCTGATGAGATAGGATTGTTGTTGTTGTGGTGTATGCTTTCAAGTCATTTCAGACTTAGGTTGACCCTGATCGAGGGCCGGGTAAATGACCTTGGAGGGCCATATCCGGCCCCCGGGCCTTAGTTTGCGGACCCCTGATTTAGGTCATACTTTTTAAAAAGTTATATATAAAATTATAGATCCTCTCTCTCTCTCTTTACACACACACACACACAGGATAGGTTGATATATATTGTACATAATTTTATATAACTTTTAAAAAAGTATGTCCTAAATCAGGTGTCCTCAAACTTTTAAACCAGAGAGCTAGGTCACAGTCCCTCAAACTGTTGGAGGGCCAGATTAAAATTTGAAAAAAAATATAATCAGATCCTGGAGAGAGATGAGAGAGAGAGAGAGAGAGAGAGAGAGAGAGAAAGGATCTGGTGTCTTTGGGGTATTATTTAGGGCATACTTTTTAAAAGTTATATATAGTATATATATTGTATACTAGCCGTCCCCTGCCACGCGTTGCTGTGGCCCACATGGGGGTTCTGTGTGGGAGGTTTGGCCCAATTCTATCGTTGGTGGGGTTGTAGGTGAACTATAAATCCCAGCAACTACAAGTCCCAAATGTCAATATTCTATTTTCCCCAAACTCCACCAGTGTTCACATTTGGGCATATTGAGTATTCGTGTAGAGTTTGGTCCAGATCCATCATTGTTTGAGTCCACAGTGCTCTCTGGATGTAGTTGAACTACAACTCCCAAACTCAAGGTCAATGCCCACCAAACCCTTCCAGTATTTTCTGTTGGTCATGGGAGTTCTGTGTGCCAAGTTTGGTTCAATTCCATCGTTGATGGAGTTCAGAATGCTCTTTGATTGTAGGCTAACTATAAATCCCAGCAACTACAACTCCCAAATGACAAAATCATAATTTTTGAGTGATGGTCACTCCTTGTGTTGTGAGACTTTTGTTGCCAAATTTGGTGAGATTTTGTTCATTGGTTCTTTTGTTTTTAAGGTACTCATTATGCACAGAACATTTATATATATATATAGATATATACAATTATAGATCCTTTCTCTCTCTCTCTCTCTCTCTCTCTACACACACACACACGCACGCACATAGGATAGGCAGATATATATTGTATATAACTTTATACAACTTTTTAAAAAGTATGCCCCAAAGCCATCAGATCCTGGAGAGAGATGGAGAGAGAGAGAGAAAGGATCTGGTGCCTTTGGGGTATTATTTAGTGCATACTTCTTAAAAGTTATATATAGTATATATATTGTATATAATTTTTATATAACTTTAAAAAAAAGTATGCCCTAAAGCCATCAGATCCTGGAGAGAGATGGAGAAACAGAGAGAGAAAGGATCTGGTGCCTTTGGGGTATTATTTAGGGTATACTTTTTTAAAAGTTATATATACAATTATAGATCCTTTCTCTCTCTCTCTCTACACACACACACACACAAAGGATAGGTAGATATATATTGTATATAATTTTATATAACTTTTTTAAAAAGTATGCCCTAAAGCCATCAGATCCTGGAGAGAGATAGGGAGAGAGAGAGAGAAAGGATCTGGTGCCTTTGGGGTATTATTTAGCGCATACCTCTTAAAAGTTATATATAGTGTATATATATTGTATATAATTTTATATAACTTTTTAAGAAGTATGCCCTAAAGCCATCAGATCCTGGAGAGAGATGGAGAAACAGAGAAAGAGAGGATCTGGTGCCTTTGGGTATTATTTAGGGCATACTTTTTTTTAAAGTTATATATACAATTATAGATCTTTTCTCTCTCTCTCTCTCTACACACACACACATAGAATCATAGAGTTGGAAGAGACCTCATGGGCCATCCAGTCCAACCCCCTGCCAAGAAGCAGGAATATTGCATTCAAATCACCCCTGACAGATGGCCATCCAGATAGGTAGATAGGATAGGTAGATATATATTGTATATAATTTTATATAACTTTTTAAGAAGTATGCCCTAATGCCATCAGATCCTGAAGAGAGATGGAGAAACAGAGAGAGAAAGGATCTGGTGCCTTTGGGGTATTATTTAGAGCATACTTTTTTAAAAGTTATATATTTTGTTTTATTATTATTACTTACAAAAGTTATATATAAAAATTATAGATCCTTTATCCCTCTCTCTTTCTATTATAGATCCTTTCTCTCTCTTCTCTGTCTTTCTAGGATTTGTTGTTTTTCGAGTATTTAAAGCAAGAGTTTCTTTCCAAAGTTTCCCTGACCCTGGATGACGCAGGCTTGGCAGGGCTAATGCAAAGGCATGGCCAGAGCCTTGCAAAGCAGAAGCGAAAGGAACCTGCAGGGAGCCCCGGCACCAGCGCGGTGTTACTGCGCATGCCCAGGCCGCCTTGCCCGCTTACCGGCTCGGGCTCCAGCAAACAGCATTCGGGGGGCCTCCGCTTCTGCTCGGGCCTCTCCGCCACCAGGTTCATGGCCCGCAGCCCCAGTGCTGGAAGCGGCTCCTTCTCTGCGCCTCAATCCCGCTCAGCGGGGTCTGCTTCTCCTGGGGCTGCTCCTCGGCCGGCGCTCCGCCTTCTTTTCCCCTCCTCTGTCGGTGGCGGGCGTGTCTTCGCCCAGGGCCAGCCTGCCTGCCTGCCAGCACCATCGGGGGGCTCTACACTGCAGAGTAGGTGCGGTTTGATATCGCATGGACTTCCCTGGCTCAATGCAGGATAGAGACCTGATCCAACTAAGAGACCTTGTCCAACCAGAACTCCCCCTGATCCATAGCCAGGAACCAGTTCAAGTGGGGCCATGCTGTTGGAAAATGGCATTTATAACCGTTTTTGGAGATCGTCTATCTATCTATCTATCTATCTATCTATCTATCTATCTATCTATCTAAAAATGCTCTGTGCATAATTAGTACCTTAAAAACAAAAGAACCAATGAACAAAATCACACCAAATTTGGCAACAAATCATCTCACAATGCAAGGAGCAACCATCACTCAAAAAATTATGATTTTGTCATTTGGGAGTTGTAGTTGCTGGGATTTATAGTTCACCTACAATCAAAGAGCACTCTGCACTCCACCAACGATGGAATTGAACCAAACTTGGCACACAGAACTCCCATGACCAACAGAAAACACTAGAAGGGTTTATTGGGCATTGACCTTTAGTTTGGGAGTTGTAGTTCACCTACATCCAGAGAGCATTGTGGACTCAAACAATGATGGATCTGGATCAAACTTGGCACGAATATTCCATATGCCCAAATATGAACACAGATGGAGTTTAAGGGAAATAGACCTTGACATTTGGGAGTTGTAGTTACTGGGGTTTATAGTTCACCTACAATCAAAGAGCATTCTGAACCCCACGAACGACAGAATTGGGGCAAACTTCCCACACAGAACCCTCATGACCAACAGAAAATACTTAAGGCCACCCAGTCCAACTCCCTTCAGCAGAGTAAGAAAACATAAAGCCCTTCTGACAGAGAGCCAGCCAGCCAGAGATATAGATAGATATATATGATTCACACACACATATATGACAGATATAGTATCAAAGATTTGAAAGGGACTCCTAACGAAGGACAATGATATGTTGCATGTTCCAGAGTAGGCAAACTAAACAATATCTACTTCAACACTGACAAAGAAACAAGAAATACTGTTTACCACAAGCAAAAGAAATTATATATATATATATATATCAGAAACTAACACTTTCTCTTTACTTTATTTTTCAGATCACCAGACTGGGCCACAGCAATGCGTGGCAGGGGACAGCTAGTACCTTATAAAAGACAAGCATGACCTTTCAGAGAAGAACCATAAACACTATAGAGTATTTATTTATTATTTATTTCGAGCATTTCTACCCCGCCCTTCTCAACCCCCGAAAGGGGACTCAGGACGGCTTACAAAAGGCACAATTCGATGCCAGCAATACACATAGTAAGATAAAATGCATAGCAGCAACAATTAAAAAATAATTAAAACAATCCAGTTATACAATACAACTAATAAAAACCAATCTAGTGATCAACCTTCGCCAAGTTCAAAATCCGTAAGTTCCTTCAGCATTGTCATTATCCTATCCAATTCTAGTCGTCACTGTCCTTTGTCTGTCTGCCAGATTATTTATTTATTTTGATTTATTTATTTCGAGTGCTTATACCCCGCCCTTCTCAACCCCCTAGGGGGGATTACCCAAAGGCCTGGTCCCATATCCATGTTTTTAGTTTCCTTCTAAAAGAGAGGAGGGATGTCGATGACCTAATTTCCCCAGGAAGCGAATCCACAGGCAAGGGGCCACCACCGAGAAGGCCCTGCTCCTCGTCCCCACCAACCTCACTTGTGATAGAGGTGGGGCCGAGAGCAGGGCCTCCCCAGAAGATCTTAAACTCCGAGGTGGGATGTAGAAGGAGATGCGTTCGGACAGGTATGCTGGGCCGGAGCCGTATAGGGTTTTGTAGGTCAAAACCAGCACTTTGAATTGTGCTCGGAACTGGATCGGCAGCCAGTGGAGCTGACATAACAGAGGGGTGGTATGCTCCCTGTATGACGCTCCGGTGAGTAATCTGGCCGCCGCCGCTGGACTAATTGAAGTTTCTGAACAGTCTTCAAAGGCAACCCCACGTAGAGTGTGTTGCAGTAATCTATTCGGGATGTAACAACAGCATGGACCACTGTGGCCAGATCTGACTTCCCAAGGTACGGGAAGTACCAAGAGTAGAATCCTCTCTTGTGGTATACAACCAGATAGAATGATACAAGGCAGAGGCTTCAGTTGTTAGACTGAATAGCCAACAATGAGATGTGGCAGCAAAAAAAGGAATGCCCATTGTAAACACTAGGCACATTGCCTATAACAGGGGCTTGGAAAGAAATGCCCATTCTAAAAAACAGGCATTTTCTCTGCAACTGCTTGAAGAGGAATGCCCATCCAAATAATGGGGGACACATTGCCAATTGGCAAGAGTGGGCTCTGTTGAAACTTACCGCAGACTTCAAATAGTGTCAGGTGTGGAGAGGAGGTGGAGCAGTCCAGATTAACTGCATTGATGGGGAGGAATTAGGAGGACTGGTCCTGTCAGGCTAGGATGACAGCCCTTGGGAGTGGAATGACAGACGGAGGATTGGATGGATACCCCTGGGAGAGAAGTGACAACCCCATGGAGTGGCATGACAGGGCTAGGGCTGAAGCGAAGGCCCCTGGGGCTAGAGTGACAGGCCTGGGACTCCAGTCTCCCAAGATCTGACACGTCTATTCCCTGTCCATTTCTCCCTATCAATGCGGTTAATGTAATCTACCCCTGCTTTGTTTGTAGCTTGCGTTTACTTTGAAGGAGCCCTGTCATGTCAATGAGCATTTGCTGCTCCCATTATTTCCATTGCCTGGTCCCTTTGCTCCTATTGTTTCCAGCTGGTATTCTTGTTTGTTTTAGTACATCCCACCTGAAAGTAGGGATGTAGAATCGACAGGTGGACTTGGCAGAAAAGTGCCTTCCTTTCGGTACTCGAGAGCCCATTCGCTCTTAAAATCAAACAATCCTACATACGCAGCCTTGTCAGACGTCTTACATTTGCAAACCTCTGTAAAATAAGTATATACACACAAATGTGCTCATTTATGATTCTGTAGCATTATATCATGTATCCGTGGCACCAGGAATGCCATATCACTAAGTTCCAAAGGTACAGATTTCTGATCCTTGCTCACTTTCAGATGTGAGGCCAAAGGACAAGAGGCACTGTTTCATGTTTACAGTAGAGACAACACATTGTGACTTAGCTCAGATTCCTGAAATGGCATTTACCTTTAATTACCCGTTTATACTCGAATATAAGCCGACCCGAATATAAGCCGAGGCACCTAATTTAACACAAAAAACTGAGAAAATGTATTGGCTCGAGTATAAGCCGAGGGTGGGAAATGCAGTAGCTACTGGTCAATTTCAAAATAAACATAGATACCAATACAATTACATTAATTGAGGCATCAGTAGATTAAATGTTTTTGAATATTTACATAGAATTGTAATATAAGATAAGACTGTCCAACTCTGATTAAACCATTATTCTCACCTTCTTCAATGTAAATGTGCTTACATATCCTTCCAATAATAGAGTAAAATAATAAATGCAATAATAACAATAATAGAGTAAAACAATAAATGTAATAACAATTATAAAATAAAATAATACATGTAATAATAATAATAATAATAATAATAATAGTAGACTAAAATGATAAATATAGTAATAATGAATAGAGTAAAATAATAAATGTAACAACAACAACAACAACAACAACAGAATAAAATAATAAATAACCTTGACTCAAGTATAAGCCGAGGGGGACTTTTTCAGCCTAAAAAAAGGGCTGAAAAATTAGGCTTATACTCGAGTATATAAAGTATAACCAGAAGTAGTTTGCATAAGGAAGCATTCACTGAGATAGACATCCTGACAAATTTCAGAAATATTCAACACATTTCCTTATTGAATATACTTGACTGTAAACATTTCTTTACAACCTTAACTCCAATGAACTCAATGAGAGAATGTGTGTGTTCAATGGACTTCTGAGTAAGGAGATATTTTAAAAAGTGCATTGGCTCTTAGGATACATCTGTACACTGTTGAATCAAGGCATTTTGACACTACTTTAACTGCCATGGCCCAGTGCTATGGGATCCTGGGAGTTGGAGTTTGGTGAGACACCATCCCTTTTTGGCAAAGAAGGCTAAAGGCCATGTAAAACTACAACTCCCGTGATCCTATAGCTTGAAATCTGTTATGCTTCTTCCCTGGAAATCTGTCATGTGAAGCTCTGTCTCATGTCCATCTATGTTACATGTAGATGTAACAGTCAGGTTCTTCAGAGAGAACCACTGTATCCTACTGGTTTGAATGTTGGGAATGCAACTCTAGAAACTAGGTTTCAAATTCCCGCTTGGCCATAAAATCTCATTGGGTGATTTTAGGCAAGCCACACATTCAATATGGAAAGAGATCTTGTGATAGGGTCACCACAAGCCAGAAACAACTTGGGAGACAAACTTTTGAATGTATAGTTCTGCTTAGGACAAACATGAATATTAAAAATTGGGTAAAGAAGATGATTAACTGTCTTGATCATTTATAAAATACTTTGTAAGACTTGGTAGTGTAAGGGGATCACGGGTTTAGGGTGCAGGGTCTCTTTTCGAAGAAATCCACAGAGTCCAATAGGTTCATGCAAGACACAATTTATTCAAGCTGATCAGCCTGAGGTGGGCAGACAGCACTTCTGCATGTGCTTCCACAGACTGCCCCTCCCCTCCTCGGCTTTTGTAGACCTTTATATACCCCCAAGTAAACAAGAACGTTTTTGTCATGGAAAGTACTTTGACCTTTATTCTTCCTGTCCCATTAACTTCATGATGGAAAGTACTTTTTGCTCCTGCAGACTTCACATTTAACCACAACCCAACTTCCAACCCCCTGCCAAGAAGCAGGAACATCGCATTCAAATAACCCCCAACAGATGGCCATCCAGCCTCTGTTTAAAAGCTTCCAAAGAAGGAGCCTCCACCACACTCCAGGGCAGAG